TTTTTCAAGGTGGTACCCCATGAGTGGCTGAGTTACTCAATAATATGAATGTTTGGATGGTACTCTATTGTGCCCAACAACTTTTGGGGTTCAAAAAAAAACAAAAACCCTTTCTCCACCTTTCCTTGAGTAAAGCTGGTCCATTTGTTTTAGAAAGCAATATTTGCGATAAAGCTTTAAAATGCAAGGTTTTCCAAATAATTAGATGCCTTATTAAACCCTTATTAAAAAACAGCACCCAGACAATTTTTCAAGGTGGTACCCCATGAGTGGCTGAGTTACTCAATAATATGAATGTTTGGATGGTACTCTATTGTGCCCAACAACTTTTGGGGTTGAAAAAAACACAAAAACCCTTTCCCCACCTTTCTTTGAGTAAAGCTGGTCCATTTACTTTAGAAAGCCATATTTGTGTTAAAGCTTGAAGACCCAACCTTTTCCAAATAATTAGATGTCTGAAAAAACCATGAATGGCTGAGTTACTCAATAATATGAATGTTTGGATGGTACTCTATTGTGCCCAACAATTTTTGGTGTTGAAAAAAAACAAAAACCCTTTCTCCACCTTTCTTTGAGTAAAGCTGGTCCATTTACTTTAGCAAACCATATTTGTGATAAAGCTTTAAAATGCAAGGTTTTCCAAATAATTAGATGCCTTATTAAACCCTTATTAAAAAACAGCACCCAGACAATTTTTCAAGGTGGTACCCCATGAGTGGCTGAGTTACTCAATAATATGAATGTTTGGATGGTACTCTATTGTGCCCAACAACTTTTGGGGTTGAAACAAATCCAAAACCATTTCTCCACCTTTCTTTGAGTAAAGCTGGTCCATTTACTTTAGAAAGCAATATTTGTGATAAAGTTTTAAAATGCAAGGTTTTCCAAATAATTAGATGCCTTATTAAACCCTTATTAAAAAAACAGCATCCAGACAATTTTTCAAGGTGGTACCCCATGAGTGGCTGAGTTACTCAATAATATGAATGTTTGGATGGTACTCTATTGTGCCCAACAACTTTTGGGGTTGAAAAAAATCCAAAACCATTTCTCCACCTTTCTTTGAGTAAAGCTGGTCCATTTACTTTAGAAAGCCATAATTGTGTTAAAGCTTGAAGATCCAACCTGTTCCAAATAATTAGATGTCTGAAAAAACCATGAATGGCTGAGTTACTCAATAATATGAATGTTTGGATGGTACTCTATTGTGCCCAACAATTTTTGGTGTTGAAAAAAAAAACAAAAACCCTTTCTCCACCTTTCTTTGAGTAAAGCTGGCCCATGTACTTTAGAAAGCAATATTTGTGGATAAAGCTTTAAAATGCAAGGTTTTCCACAAATAAGTAATGCCTTTACAATTAAACCCTTATTAAAAAAACAGCATTCCAGGACAATTTGCAAGGGGGTGGTACCCCATGAGATGGCGGAGTTACGCAATTAATATGCAAGGTTGGATGGTACTCTATTGTGCCCAAACAATTTGGGGGGTTGAAAAAAACAAAAACCTTTTCCACCTTTCTTTGAGTAAAGCTGGTCCATTTGCTTTAGAAAGCAAATTTGTGATAAAGCTTCAAAATGCAAGGGTTTTCCAAATAATTAGATGCCTTATTAAACCCTTATTTAAAAACAGCACCCAGACAATTTTTCAAGGTGGTACCCCATGAGTGGCTGAGTTACTCAATAATATGAATGTTTGGATGGTACTCTATTGTGCCCAACAATTTTTGGGGTTGAAAAAAACAAAAACCATTTCTCCACCTTTCTTTGAGTAAAGCTGGTCCATTTACTTTAGAAAGCAATATTTGTGATAAAGTTTAAAATGCAAGGTTTTCCAAATAATTAGATGCCTTATTAAACCCTTATTAAAAAACAGCATCCAGACAATTTTTCAAGGTGGTACCCCATGAGTGGCTGAGTTACTCAATAATATGAATGTTTGGATGGTACTCTATTGTGCCCAACAACTTTTGGGGTTGAAAAAAAAACAAAAACCCTTTCTCCACCTTTCTTTGAGTAAAGCTGGTCCATTTACTTTAGAAAGCAATATTTGTGATAAAGCTTTAAAATGCAAGGTTTTCCAAATAATTAGATGCCTTATTAAACCCTTATTAAAAAACAGCATCCAGACAATTTTTCAAGGTGGTACCCCATGAGTGGCTGAGTTACTCAATAATATGAATGTTTGGATGGTACTCTATTGTGCCCAACAACTTTTGGGGTTGAAAAAAATCCAAAACCATTTCTCCACCTTTCTTTGAGTAAAGCTGGTCCATTTACTTTAGGAAACCATATTTGTGTTAAAGCTTGAAGATCCAACCTTTTCCAAATAATTAGATGTCTGAAAAAACCATGAATGGCTGAGTTACTCAATAATATGAATGTTTGGATGGTACTCTATTGTGCCCAACAACTTTTGGGGTTGAAAAAAATCAAAAAAAACATTTCTCCACCCTTCTTTGAGTAAAGCTGGTCCATTTACTTTAGGAAACCATATTTGTATTAAAGCTTTAAAATACAAGGTTTTCCAAATAATTAGATGCCTTATTAAACCCTTATTTAAAAACAGCACCCAAACAATTTTTCAAGGTGTACCCCATGAGTGGCTGAGTTACTCAATAATATGAATGTTTGGATGGTACTGTATTGTGCCCAACAACTTTTGGGGTTGGAAAAAAAAACAAAAACCCTTGAAAGTAAATTGAAATCAATTGAAAGTAAATTGAAAGTAAATTGAAATCAATTGAAAGTAAATTGAAAGTAAATTGAAAGTAAATTGAAAGTAAATTGAAATCAATTGAAATCAATTGAAAGTAAATTGAAAGTAAATTGAAATCAATTGAAAGTAAATTGAAATCAGTTGAAAGTAAATTGAAAGTAAATTGAAATCAAATGAAAGTAAATTGAAATCAGTTGAAAGTAAATTGAAAGTAAATTGAAATCAATTGAAAGTAAATTGAAAGCAATTGAAAGTAAATTGAAAGTAAATTGAAATCAATTGAAAGTAAATTGAAAGCAATTGAAAGTAAATTGAAATTAAATTGAAATCAATTGAAAGTAAATTGAAAGTAAATTGAAAGTAAATTGAAATCAATTGAAATCAATTGAAAGTAAATTGAAATCAATTGAAAGTAAATTGATTTCAATTGAAAGTAAATTGAAATCAATTCAAAAAAATTGTTGAAGGTGGGGGGGCGCAAAAAAATGGTCTGTTATTCAGTAGACTAAAATTGTTTGGGGGGGGGGGCCTCACACTAATCAGTCGACAACATTACGCAGCTTGGTGGTTTGCTGTCAAGATGTTCATTTTCCTGATCTGGCATACTTCTCAGACAAGTTATACGATTAAACTAGTGCTGAGTATTGGCGGCCTCGTTGTGATGTTCTTGATCATATCCTTGGCAGGCTTGGGTTGGGAGGCGGTTGACGAAGAATTTGCAAAGCCTCTCCCGGCAACTGCGAGAATTTGACATCCACGAAAGCAAGTCTTGCTGCTCTGCGGGCCATGAGACGCAAAGTGGAGAGCGAATCCCATGTGATCAGGATCTCATCTATCAAAGCCTGGCTGACTGGTATGGAAATGATGCTGATGATTTGCAAGGAAGGCTTAAGAGTTTCAACACAGCTGTCCGAACCCAATTTGCTGATCGGATTTTGGCAACCTGCGACCTGCGAAGAGCAATCCATGCCCATAAAAATGTTCATCCACACTGTCTTCAGCATGAACACTCCATTCTTGATCATTATGATCCAGATGCCATTGGGCAAGCCCAGGAGCAGCAGTCCGCATTACTTGCCTGTGTAGTTGCATTGCGAGTTTTGCTTGCCAGTTGGGGGCATGTTTGGCCATCGATGCTTGTCTACCTCTGGGCATGTAAGACTATGTGGACGCTCACCCTGCAGTGCAATCAATGGTTGATCTTGATCGAAGCAGGTGCTCCCGTTTTTGTCCTTCTTTCTTGGGCCATCGTAGGTGGAGTCTGTGTTTTGCCGGTGCTTTTGACGCACCGCCACAGTTGGCCTCCACGAGTTGTATTTGTTGCGGCCATGGCTCTCGGCCTTTATCTTCTGTGGGTCTTCACCCTCCCAGTGAAGGCATGTCGAAAAAACACAGTTGACAAGACTTCGACAGAATGTGGAGAGGGTGCCCATCAGGGATGACATGTCGAGCTTTTCCATCTGAGCAGTTTTCACTGGATGGTATTCAAAAGCCTCAAACAGGCAAGATGAACACCTTCAATACCTTCTTGCACGCATTTTTGTCTGACGTGCTTGAGTTGAATATTGTGTCTCATTCAGGTGAAACACCAGATAACGTGCTGACGTCTTGTGGGATGGTGCCATTCAATATCATTCATCATATTTTACCAGCCAAAACTTCACACATGAATTCATGTGTGAAGCTTTTGCAGGTAAAATATGATGAATGATATTGAATGACACCATCCCACAAGACGCTGCCCAGGTTATCAGGGATGACATGTCGAGCTTTTCCGTCTGAGCAGTTTTCACTGGATGGTATTCAAAAGCCTCAAGCAGGCAAGATGAACACCTTCAATACCTTCTTGCACGCATTTTTGTCTGACGTGCTTGAGTTGAATATTGTGTCTCATTCAGGTGAAACACCAGATAGCGATGTAGCAGCTACCGCCCTGGCTGTGAATCTCACAGTCCACCAGACTTGCTCAGAGAAGCCAGACGTGCAGACCGCGCAAAGGCTGATCCAAGTGTTATTTTGCGAAAGCAAAAATCTTTTTTTATTTTTATCTATAATTTGGTATTGTAGGGTGGCCCCCTTCCATTTCTCTACTTCCTCTTTGGTGATTTCTATCCAGTTTTCAGCAGCTTCCTCCAGCAGGGTCAACGCTGTTCATTGCCTAGCAGCAGAATGGTACCCCTTATAATCAACAGCCCAGTGATGACCAGAATTCACGGGTTGACATTACCTATCCTCGCGGACCTCCTTCATCCTGCTTTTTTTTGATTTTGCTCAAAAAGTGAGTTGACATGGCGCGTGTGCTGGCAAGACGTATCGCGGGCGCCGGCGGTATCGTGCGCACCAGTTGCGGGCAGCTTGGCGGGTTTCCAGTCCTTTCAAGGAGATTGGTGGTTCATTCAGCCAGCCCCCTCCCCCCAAAAAAATAGTTGACACCCTATAGAATAGATGGTGAATAACGCCTTATAGTTGGGTGTTTTTCGTTAGTACAGTAACTTAGTAGACCCATGCTGTGGCATGATGATTTTGGGGGATCAACTTTGGCAGGTGGAATCCCCGCAGGTCTTGCTGGTCCTATGCTGGTCATTTTTAGCGCGTAGAAGGCTATGTTCCCGGGTAGTTTTTGGGTGATCAAATGTGTGTGTCACGAGGAAATGATTAGGGATGAGTCAATGAGTTGTATAGAGGAAAACCAAGTCCACGTGTAGATGATGTTCCTGGTTTCCCTCCAAATCACCGGGTTACCGGAGGGTACCTAGGTTTAGGTATACCTTCCATGTTTTGATGTCTCCCATCACACCTCGGCAGGACTTCTTTCCAGCGAAGCTTTTGCAGTTATGACGCTGGGCTGGGTGAATTGATGTGAATGATCGGTTTTTGGTTGTTGGTTTACTTCTGATATAATAGGCACCCATGACTTAGGACTTAGGTCACCATAGTGACATAGGAGTTTGTGCACCAAGTCCTAAGTCACTGGTGTTCTTACCAGGTGATTTGTGTGCACCAAGTCCTAAGTCACTGGGGTTATGATTGGACTTAAGCACTTTTTCGGGTTAAAACAAAATAAAACATATTCTCTTAATAAGTCATCCATCAGAACCTACATACTTACATTACATTACAGTACAGTAAATTACATCACACTACGGTACATTACATTACATTACCGTAAAGTACAGTACATCACATTACACTACAGTACATTACATTACAGCACATTACAGTACATTACATTACATACATGCACAGGACTTGGTGCACAAAATCGTCTGTCACTAGAGGGGCACAAGTCCTAAGTCATCAGAACCTACATACTTACAGTACATTGCAGTACAGTACAGTACATTACACTACATTACAATACATAATACGTTAAACAAAAATAAAAAAACAAAAAGAATGCATATATAAAAAAATACAATATTCGAAAAAATATTTCAAAAATGAAAAAAACAAAAAACATATATCTATATTTTTGTGTATTTCTGCAATTGTTTTAAATAAGGTCTGTATGTAAATCAAAGGAAAACATGAAAATCACAGATTTTTTTGAACTATTTTTTTTGAAGATGGGCACAAGTCCTAAGTCATCAGTTTTCGCACAGGTTGGCTCGAGGACTTCGACCCAACAACGGGGTAGTGCAACGGGGTAATACAACGGGGACCACAATATGGAAGCGCAACGGAGGAAACAAAACGGGAAACAACAGAGAAACATTTAAAGTGAAAAAACAAACAAAAAACATTTTTTTTATTTTATTTAGTTGCTTTAATATAATGTTTGTACATAAGTCGAAGGAGAAAAAACGAAAATCACATATGTTTGAATATTTTTTTTGAAGATGGGCACAAGTCCTAAGTCATCAATTTTTCTTTCGATTTATATACATACATTGTTTTCAAGGTATTAAATAGATTTAACATTTATGGATATAACTTTTCTATTTTTTTCGTTTTCATTTTTCCATTTTGTTTCCCGTTTTGTGTCCCCGTTTTTTTGTTTCCCCGTTTTTTTGTTTCCCCGTTGTGTCTCCCCGTGGTGTCTCCCCCGGGCGGTGATCCCAATGCAACGAGTCGGGGTGAGCGTTTTGCGCCAACGCGCGCGCGCGTTGGTGGAAAATGAAAGCGAGCAGTTTCCGGTCGCCTCTGCAGTCCCTGTGGCGCCGCAGTGGGGTGAACAACGGGGTAAGACAACAGGGACCACAATAGGGAAGCACAACGGGGGAAACAAAACGGGAAACAGCAGAGAAAAGTGAAAAAAATAATGTATTTTGATGTATTTTTTATTTATTAAATTGCTTTAAAATAATGTCTGTATGTAAATCGAAGGAAAAAATGAAAATCACACATTTCTTTTGAACTATTTTATGAAGATGGGCACAAGTCCTAAGTCATCAGTTTTCGCAACGGTTGGCTCGAGGACTTCGACCCAACAACGGGGTAGTGCAACGGGGTAATACAACGGGGACCACAATAGGGAAGCACAACGGGGGAAACAAAACGGGAAACAGCAGAGAAAAGTGAAAAAAAATGTATGTATTTTTTTAATTGAATTGCTTTAAAATAATGTCTGTATGTAAATCGAAGGAAAAAATGAAAATCACACATTTCTTTTGAACTATTTTTTTTGAAGATGGGCACAAGTCCTAAGTCATCAGTTTTCGCAACGGTTGGCTCGAGGACTTCGACCCAACAACGGGGTAGTGCAACGGGGTAATACAACGGGAACCACAATAGGGAAGCACAACGGGGGAAACAAAACGGGAAACAACAGAGAAAAATGAAAAGTTAAAAAACAAAATATTTTTTTTATTTTATTTAGTTGCCTTAATTTAATGTCTGTACATAAATCGAAGGAGAAAAAACGAAAATCACAGATTTTTGGAATATTTTTTGAAGATGGGCACAAGCCCTAAGTCATCAATATTTCATTCAATTTATATACATAAATTGTTTTCAAGGTATTAAATAGATTTAACATTTATGGATATAACTTTTCTATTTTTTTTCGTTTTCATTTTTCCATTTTGTTTCCCGTTTTGTGTCCCCGTTTTGTTTCCCCGTTTTTTTGTTTCCCCGTTGTGTCTCCCCGTGGTGTCTCCCCCGGGCGGTGATCCCAATGCAACGAGTCGGGGTGAGCGTTTTGCGCCAACGCGCGCGCGCGTTGGTGGAAAATGAAAGCGAGCAGTTCCCGGTCGCCTCTGCAGTCCCTGTGGCGCCGCAGTGGGGTGAACAACGGGGTACAGACAATAGGGAAGCACAACGGGGGAAACAAAACGGGAAACAGCAGAGAAAAGTGAAAAAAAGAAATGATGTATTTTTTATTTATTAAATTGCTTTAAAATAATGTCTGTATGTAAATCGAAGGAAAAAATGAAAATCACACATTTCTTTTGAACTATTTTTATGAAGATGGGCACAAGTCCTAAGTCATCAGTTTTCGCAACGGTTGGCTCGAGGACTTCGACCCAACAACGGGGTAGTGCAACGGGGTAATACAACGGGGACCACAATAGGGAAGCACAACGCGGGAAACAAAACGGGAAACAGCAGAGAAAAGTGAAAAAAATGTATGTATGTTTATGTATTTTTTATTTATTAAATTGCTTTAAAATAATGTCTGTATGTAAATGGAAGGAAAAAATGAAAATCACACATTTTTTTGAACTATTTTTTTTGAAGATGGGCACAAGTCCTAAGTCATCAGTTTTCGCAACGGTTGGCTCGAGGACTTCGACCCAACAATGGGGTAGTGCAACGGGGTAATACAACGGGGACCACAATAGGGAAGCACAACGGGGGAAACAAAACGGGAAACAGCAGAGAAAAGTGAAAGAAAATGTATGTATTTTTATGTATTTTTTATTTATTAAATTGCTTTAAAATAATGTCTGTATGTAAATCGAAGGAAAAAATGAAAATCACACATTTCTTTTGAACTATTTTTTTGAAGATGGGCACAAGTCCTAAGTCATCAGTTTTCGCAACGGTTGGCTCGAGGACTTCGACCAACGGGGTAGTGCAACGGGGTAATACAACGGGACCACAATAGGGAAGCACAACGGGGGAAACAAAACGGGAAACAACAGAGAAAAATGAAAAGTGAAAAAAAAAACAGATTTTTTATTTTATTTAGTTGCCTTAATTTAATGTCTGTACGTAAATCGAAGGAGAAAAAACGAAAATCACAGATTTTTGAAATATTTTTTGAAGATGGGCACAAGCCCTAAGTCATCAATATTTCATTCGATGTATATACATACATTGTTTTCAAGGTATTAAATAGATATAACATTTATGGATATAACTTTTCTATTTTTTTTCGTTTTCATTTTTCCATTTTGTTTCCCGTTTTGTGTCCCCGTTTTGTTTCCCCGTTGTGTCTCCCCGTTGTGTCTCCCCGTGGTGTCTCCCCCGGGCGGTGATCCCAATGCAACGAGTCGGGGTGAGCGTTTTGCGCCAACGCGCGCGCGTTGGTGGAAAATGAAAGCGAGCAGTTCCCGGTCGCCTCTGCAGTCCCTGTGGCGCCGCAGTGGGGTGAACAACGGGGTAACACAACGGGGACCACAATAGGGAAGCACAACGGGGGAAACAAAAGGGGAAACAGTAGAGAAAAGTGAAAAAAATGTATGTATTTTGATGTATTTTTTTAGTTATTAAATTGCTTTAAAATAATGTCTGTATGTAAATCGAAGGAAAAAATGAAAATCACACATTTCTTTTGAACTATTTTTATGAAGATGGGCACAAGTCCTAAGTCATCAGTTTTCGCAACGGTTGGCTCGAGGACTTCGACCCAACAACGGGGTAGTGCAACGGGGGTAATACAACGGAGACCACAATAGGGAAGCACAACGGGGGAAACAAAACGGGAAACAGCAGAGAAAAGTGAAAAGTGAAAAAAACAGATTTTCTATTTTATTTAGTTGCTTTAAAATAATGTCTGTACATAAATCGAAGGAGAAAAAACGAAAATCACATATGTTTGAAATATTTTTCTTGAAGATGGGCACAAGTCCTGAGTCATCAATTTTTCATTCGATTTATATACATACATTGTTTTCAAGGTATTAAATAGATTTAACATTTATAGAAATAAATTTTCTATTTTGTTTCCACGTTGTGTCTCCCCGTGGTGTCTCCCCGGGGCGGTGATCCCAATGCAACGAGTCGGGGTGAGCGTTTTGCGCCAACGCGCGTGCGTTGGTGGAAAATGAAAGCGAGCAGTTCCCGGTTGCCTCTGCAGTCCCTGTGGCGCCGCAGTGGGGTGAACAACGGGGTAAGACAACAGGGACCACAATAGGGAAGCACAACGGGAAAAAAAACAGGAGAAACAACAGAGAAAAATGAAAGTGAAAAAACAAAAAAATATTTGTATTTTTTTAAAATTTAATTGCTTTATAGTAATGTCTGTACAGAATTCGAAGGAAAAAATGAAAATCACAGATTTTTTAAAACTATTTTTTTGAAGATGGGCACATGTCCTAAGTCATCAATTTTTTCAACGGTTGGCGCGAGGACTTCGACCCAACAACGGGGTAGTGCAACGGGGTAATACAACGGGGACCACAATAGGGAAGCACAACGGGGGAAACAAAACGGGAAACAACAGAGAAAAATGAAAAGTGAAAAAAAACAGATTTTTTATTTTATTCAGTTGCTTTAAAATAATGTCTGTACATAAACCGAAGGAGAAAAAACAAAAATCGCAGATTTTTGAAATATTTTTTGGAGATGGGCACAAGTCCTAAGTCATCAATTTTTCATTCGATTTATATACATACATTGTTTTCAAGGTATTAAATAGATTTAACATTTATAGAAATAAATTTTCTTTTTTTTTCGCTTTCATTTTTGCATTTTGTTTCCCGTTTTGTTTCCCCGTTTTGTTTCCCCGTTGTGTCTCCCCGTTGTGTCTCCCCGTGGTGTCTCCCCGGGGCGGTGATCCCAATGCAACGAGTCGGGGTGAGCGTTTTGCGCCAGCGCGCGCGCGTTGGTGGAAAATGAAAGCGAGCAGTTCCCGGTCGCCTCTGCAGTCCCTCTGGCGCCGCAGTGGGGTGAACAACGGGGTAACACAACGGGGACCACAATAGGGAAGCACAACGGGGAAAAAAACAGGAAACAACAGAGAAAAATGAAAAGTGAAAAAACACCCAAAAAAATATTCAGATTTTTTATTTTATTTAATTGCTTTAAAATAATGCCTGTACATAAATCGAAGGAAGAAAAAAGAAAATCACAGATTTTTGATTTTTTTTGAAGATGGGACAAATAGCCAAATAGCTGCAGCACACGAGCGTGATGACTTAGGATCATCTTAGTATACTTCTGCTAGTTAATTCCTATGTCATCCTGGTTTTACGAGTGGTCCATGCCGCACAAAAAAATCAAGCATAGTTTCTAATCTCATACGGACACCTGATGAGTTGGGACTTGTGCAGGGGGGGTCTGAAGCATGATGAGATAGGACTTGTCCACCCCAGGGTATCTTTCACAAGTCCTAAGTCACTGGTACCTAATATAATTTCTGTCATCATTTCAGTGAAGGAGCCGGCACATACGCTATACGCTTGGCAATTATATAATAATATTCTTATTTATTCTTATTTGTTTTATGGAGGACTAGCTGCACATCATTCTGCTGGGTGGGAGCTTTTTGCAGCGCTTGATTGATGTGTTTCTTGCCACGATTTGATGTGTTGAATACACAGGGCGTGACTCGAACTTCCGGATGTTGCTGAGCAAAGTCGGCTATCAGTTATTTGTCTCACAAGGTCTCCAAGACCATCCAAGACCCCCCAAGAACCATATGTTTTTTGCTTCAACCAAGTCCTCCCCAAATCCAAATCCATCCATTTGCTCAAAGACCTCCCAGATCCATTACTTGTTTGTCCATTTCCTCCATTTATAGCTGACTTTCTCATTTAAACCTCCATTTCTGGAGGATTAAGCAGATTGTCCATGCCACGTTTGATGACCAGTAAACAAAGTCCACGTAAGTTCCCTACAGTTATGGCGTGATAAGCCCATTTATGGAATGATAACCCCTATCTATATTTATCATATAATATCATATATTTATCTATATTTATCTATATCATTCTATATCTATTTCATTTATAAGAGCCTTAATTTATAACTGATATTTTGGGCTTGAAAGAGCTGCAGGGTCCCGTTGATCATCGATCCCGTCCTGTCAGGAAGCCTCCGTGGCCTCGAAGCTCACGGATGCCTTAGGCGCCAGCAACTGCGTGGTGGAGGTGACCGCGTCGGCGCTGCTGCGTTGCGTTCTTTGACATTTGCAACTCATCCAATCCCCGGCCCCCTACCCTTTGGCTATTTAACATAGCCATGGTATAGATGGCCCATAGAAATAGATGGTTTACCTATTAGAAATGGGTGGATTTTCCATGGCGAACTGTTAAATAACCAGATGGTAATATTAAACACAGCCCAAATGGTGCCAGTTTAATATTAGGGGGATGGGATTACTTAAATTGAACACTCATGACTCATGTTGTTTTTTTGGTTGATGGTGGGGACAGTGGAGGAAAACAGCAATAGGGTGGATTCAGCAATATCGACGGGAGATATGGCTTTGACGTAGCACTGCCAGGATCGTTCTGGTGGATGTGGGCAGAGTTTCAGCATTTTGATCGAGTCGGAAAAGTTCCGCGGTCTCAGCAAGCTGCCTCTTGCCAAGACTGCGCGGGAGTTGATGCTGAAGGGGCAGAAGGGACATCAATCATATCAACGTACCACAGAATCCAAGTACTTTTTTTTTTGGGCGGCACTCTTTACTGATGGAAATATGTTGAAACTGCATAAGATTGGGTCAAGCAGAGTCAAGCACGTAATCCCTGGTTTGGTATTTTGAAATCTTCGACGTATTTTCCATGGATTTTCCCCATCATGTTCCATCATTTGTCCATCATGTTTCCATATTTTCCATTATTTGTCCATCATTGCTCCATCATTTTCCATCATTGTTCCATTATTTTTTCCAGCATGTGTGTCCATTATTTGTCCATCATTATCCATCCATCTGTGTGATTTTGTTCCCCATTCGACGGTGACTCTCAGGAAGTGCCAGCGGATGGTGCAGGCAGCGACGGACCGATGGGCTTAAATTCATCTTCCCAATTTTCCATGTCTTTCCTGCGAGTGGGGGTGAAAATCATGGTCGGTAGATGGTTAGTAAATGATAGTAAATGGTTTGAATAAAGAACAATGGACAATGGGTGAATAGTGGTACAACATAGGGAATAATGATTTTCAACAGATGATGGTATACATAAATCGTGTATACCCAATATCATGCTATACCATGCTATACCATGGTAAATGGTTGATGATGTGGGTATAGCATGGTATAAGCAACAACAATGGCTAATAATGGTTTGGAGAGAGTTAATCATGGTAAGTTATGGTGAATATAAGCTCAATCAAAAAACCATCAATGTGGGAAACCCTATGCCATAAACCATCCTGAAAATCACATTTTTTCTGCGTGCTATCTATTTTTTACCATCCCCACATTATGGTGGATGATAAAGTCTTAGTATGCAAGTTTTGATTTCACACTTTGGATAAAACACTTTGTATTGATGGTGTATTGGAAGTTGCTATAGATGGTTAGGAGCTGGGTTTCAACTCCATATAGTTGAGGGACCCTTCCGCAATCAGCCACATGGTTTGCTGGAAAATCACATCCATTTATTGTAATTAGATGATGTTCCCATCAATTGTCCCATATGTTGCCATGTTTGATTGTGTTTTTCCCATGAAAACGTCCATTTGGTCTGGAGATTCCCCAGGAAGTGATCCGGGAAGAGATTGCACAGTGGCACGCGGTGTCAATACAAACCAAGGTCCCTGAATGAGGAGACGTGAAAAAAAAGTGCAGCTGGATATGGGTCAAGATTTGGTACCATCACTATTATCATCACCATCATCACCATCATTATCCAAAATAAACAATTACCCTCTGGTTATTTAACATAGACATGGAAAATGGTCCATTTATAGATGGTTTACCTATTAAAACCTCCATTTATCAGGGATTTTCCATGGCTATGTTAGTCATAACCAGGTGGTAAATGATTGGGTGGAATCATTGGTCAGTATTCAAATCCGGACCCATAGCAGTGGAAGAAACTGCCGGCCATGGCATTGCGCGAAGATCTGACAAAAAAAGGTGTCACTGGCATTGACAGGAATCAACACTGAGAGGGAAGGTGTCATCCGCTCGTACTACGCTTCATCACACGACTATTCATTTAATTTCGCAGAGAGAGGGAGAGCACACAGTATTTGTAAATTGATGTGTGGGACAAACCTAGGAGGATATATAAGTCATATATAGGATAGGGACCGTTGTTTTTTTGGCTGAAACTCTAACCTATTTTTCTGAATTGTTCTGTTTGGGATTTTTGACCTTGAGAAATTTCAATCGAACTCCAACTTCGCTTTAGGCTTGCTACCTACTAGCTATTCGGAGTTCTATGATTTCTATGTCGAAGCTTTTTGTGACGCCCGGTCCATCCCATGTGGCTTAAATACAGTGAAGTACATCCCATTATACCATGATTTTCATTCATTTTGCGAATTCCAAGTGTATCACATTCACAGCATACATGTAGATGTCATTTTTTGATCCTTTACGGAAGACGCATCATGAAATCTCAATGATTTGTTGGTTCCCTGCAGGTCAGATCTCCCCCTCTCAGGCCCTGGTCCTTTACCCTTCACAGTCGACGGCCTCAGGAGGGTTGAGAAATCTGGGAAACGATCGGCCTGGCCAACCCTGATGGCTAAGAATGGAACATCATATCCCTATGGATCCAAGTATCTTCTTAGGAAGTGTTTGGGGTATAATTTACTATAATGTGGAGGGTTGAGTACCTTCTCAGACAGTGTTTGGATCCATAGGGTATGATTTATATTGATTTATCACAAATCCTGGCTTAATTTAAGGTGATCTTTTTTTTTCGGAAACCATTCAGGGAATCCTTAAGGTGTTTTGTAGTTTTTCCAGGGGGTCCGCAAATCCAAGAAATGGCTGATAGAATAGGTACTTGTAAGCGTGGGAGAGCTGAATAGATTTAAACACGTTTGAAGATGCTCCATCTCCATGACCGAAATCATAAATCTAAACGACAACTTCTTTTGGATAGGTAGAATCCACCCGATGTAGTGGACCTCTTTGGGCCCTGGTGGCTTTTGAGCATAGCTATGAACAACTGATACGTTTATTCTTGTTCAGATATGTTCAGATGATTTACCCTTTAGACATGATGATTTCCCATTGCTATGTCCAGTTACCAGAAGGTACGCATTGCCCAAATCTGTCAATACCTATCGGAGCAAAGGTTATTGGGGGGAGCTATTTTGCTTTGGAAATCAGTTGTTTCGACTGCTTATGGACGTTCTTGCCTTCACACGCTCACGAAAACACTCCCAGATCTCTGGAGTTTTCCCGGAATTATGGAATAGAAGGCACTTATACCCTCTGGTTATGACTAACATAGCCATGGGAAATTGCCCATTTATAGATGGTTTACCTATTAAAAATGGTGATTGTCCATGGCTATGTTAAATAACCAGAGGTTATTTCTGAAGGCAACAAAAACATGGATTGTTTCGGATGTCGAGAATGGAATCAAAAAAGGGTCTCCTTTTCTGCCCGAACTGAGGACCACGAGGTGGAAGCTTCAAAAAAGGCACGGGCTGCGTTGATCGCAGCTGTCACCCATGCGCTGTTGGAGGTTTGAAGTTCTTACTGATGCGAAATGAGTTGCTGTGTTTTTTTTTGAACCCCCAATGTTGGTTCATAGCTATCGCATTTGCTTTGTGTAATAGTTACTCGTATATGTCCCTTTTTGGTTCCTCCAACCTCCAGTCTTTTTCTCCGTCAAAGCTCATGCCCTTTCAAGTGCACAAAAGGTCAAACAAAACTAACTCCGCAACTACACAGTGAATCTGTTTGGCTGCATATGTTTCCAAGATGGGGATGTGTTCAAAACCTATGAACTTGCCATAGTGGGAATAAACATCCATCAACATCCAATAAATTCCAGCTATAAACATAACATTAGCATTAAGATCCATTAACATCCCACAATCCATGTGTTCTTATCATTCCCTATGGATCCAAGTATCTTCTTAGGAAGTGGGACTGGGGTATAATTTACTATAATGTGGAGGGTTAAGTACCTTCTCAGACAGTGTTTGGATCCACAGGGATTAACATCCATAAATCCCAGCTATTTTAAGGTACCTACCGGGTAGGGTTTTTCTCGGGTAGTTCTTCGACCCCCAGGTTATGGCCTGGCGTGAAGGACGACGTCAGAGAGAAGATCGAAGTCACCTGGCGATGGTGATATATTCTGGCGATGGCGTTTCAATGAGTATGGTAAGTTGACAACCTCTGGTAAACGTTTACGAAGCGAACTGGAAAATCACCATGTTTAATGGGTAAATCAGCTATAATTGATTGTTGTGGAGGACTCTTGCTGCTCAGTCTTCAGCAATTTGTCATTGCAATGGGAAGTCCTAATTTTAACAGGTAATTCACACAGAGAGTGGATTTCCACTGCCATTTTCAATTACCAGAGGACATGCCGTTATGAGTCATTTCCATGAACTCAAAACCTATGAATGTGAGTATATCTATTTATCTATCGTTCTATCTATCTAATCTAATCTAGTCCAAAAAAATCTAATGTAATCCAATCTAATCTAATCTAAATCTAATGTAATCTGATTTAAATTTAAATCTAAATCCAATCTAATCTAATCTATTAAAATCTAGTCTAATCTCTCTATCTATCTATATTATGTATGTGTGCATGTATTTGATAGATAGCGTTTCTGTGCAGTTCTTTTGAAATATATGTTGAAGATACAGTCCATAACTGCACAAGGTGGTGCCCCCCAGTTGTAAGTTGGTGTGTAATTGCAACTTCCATGGCCCATGAACTTTAGTCATACTTACCGGAAACAGTGGCTGGTGATGCCCCAACTCTTGGTGGTTAAAATATGTTAAAATCCCATGGTGAAGTTTTACCCATAGACATATTCTAAGAACATTGATCCACCAATATTAATAATATAACATAATTTAACCATAGCCATATGTTATTATGTTTAATAAATCCACATATGTTAACATGGATCCACCATTACTAAGCCATATTGAACCACTAATCCCAGTCCTGCCCAGATTCGTCCATCAACTCTGCCAGGTTACTGGCTGGGACGCCTCAAACTTCAAGGCGGGAAGCATGTCATTTTTTGCACATTCCGAGAATCACATCCAAGCATTGATCTGAATCTGTTTCAACACACATTGCATATATATTTATAAAATGTATATAATTGTATATATATATAATCTATATCCATTTGCAGGCAAAGATATACGTATATATTTATATATATTATATATATTATATATATATATATGCAATGCAGGTAGCTGCCACCCAGAAAAAGCCAGGAAAGTTCCAGCCCAGGCATCGGAGAGGCCATAGCCATGGACGAATCGCGACTCTTGGAATCCCTAGGCGCGGCATTGGCGCGATGGGATTTTCATGGGATTTCGCTGGGATTTAATGGTGATTTTGATGGGATTTTAGTAGGGCTTAATGGGACTCTAGTGGGATGTTCTAGTGATAAATTATGATAGTTTAATGGTATATGCATGGGATAAATTTGATTTTCCCAGCTATAAACGTCAACAATATAATGTGGCCCGTCATCCCTCACTTGATTCGAGGGAAGTTTTGAAGCAAACTCGTGCTTTCATTGTGCAAATGGCAATGTGTTCAATTTTTCATATTATAATTTATGTATATATATATATAAATAATTATATATACATGACCTCAAAAGCCTCAAGGACATTGATTTCAATAAAGAGCTTCAGGATTTCAAACGAAATGGATGGGCATGGATGGGCATGGATGGAACGTCTTCCATTCGCGCACTACTTGAAGGCTTTGAGTTTTAAGTCGGGGCCGGAGTCATGGAGTGTGTATAAGACATGTTTTGGTGTTTTTTTTTAACACCTCCACTTCAAAGACCCATGTGTGGCGATATTTGATCCCACTCCTTCCAACGAACCGACAACTGCATCATCAGACCCTCTTCACATCCGGCAACTAAATCCAGGTAGCCTGTAAATGTGGCTAAAATGCCCTTAACCTTAGCTTCACACATCTACAACTGCATCATAGCGTCACACGATGGAATTCAGGACGTCAGGACGCAGGATAGCATCACATCCAAGCCGAATCCTCGTCGCATCATGGTGCTGGGCTTGTTGGCACAAAACTGTTTTCCCTTGGTCTTCTTGCTGGAGCGTGCACGTGAGCAGGCGGGAATGGTGGAGAATGGGTTCCCATCCGCAGCAATGGGGGAAACCAACAGTTTGAAGGTGATAAGCCAGCGTTGGAATTGGCTGCTGTATTTCGATGTAGCCTCTGGTTATTTAACATAGCCATGGAAAATGGCCCATTTATAGATGGTTTACCTATAAAAAATGGTGATTTTCCATGGCCATGTGAAATAACCAGAGGGTAATTCGTATAATTAAACAAATAGTTAATTCATCCCAAGCCTTCCAGCTATCTCTGGTAAACAAACCTCATGTCTTAACGTTTAGCTCTATTCCGAAGTCAGCCCATTGTCAGATCAAGTCAATATGTTGTTTCGTAACAAGAAATGTCAATCTCACATGTTCAGCTATTGTGATCCTGATTTTTCCAGGGGAAAATCCCCATGTTTTAGCTGTGGATTGCTGCAGATGATTTGGTGATGTTCCCCGTGGTTAATTCATCAGAAATGGGGGGCCCGGGTCAACAAATCCAAGCAAATGCCCCAACTCCCAACGATTGATGAAATCTCCAATGTTTATCCATTTTTGATGATCGCCATTTCAAGTCTTGATGGTTACCCTCTGGTAATTTAGCTATTGAAAATGGTGATTTATAGTGGATTTGTCCATAGAAAAAATGCGATTTTCCACTTCGTTATCTTAGTTTACCAGAGAACACATCAGGTGAGTTCCAACTGGTTGGTTGTTTGGAACATTTTTCCCATATATTGGGAAAAATACTCCCAACTGAAACCACCAACAAGCCAAAGTCTGGGTCCCCCAAGTCATCCGATCAGGCCTGGAAGTGCGCCAGGGCTGGTCGCAGGTGGATCTGGGAAGTTTGAACGGGACAATGGTGGGATAGCGTGGGAAATAGATGTATACATATACATAATTATATTATATTATATTATATTATATATATATATATTGTGTTTTATTATATTATATATATTATGTATATCCATATATTATAGATACTACAAATCTATGGGATTTGTAAAATTGTGTAAATCATATAAATCATTATAAATCATGTTTTGTTTTGTGGTTGAGTTATCGGATACTATGAGAAATCAAGACATTCTTAATGGATAGGTTGATGATTGCGTGTGCCCTGAGGAGGGAGGGAGACACTATGTTCTGAAAGGACCAAATTTGACCATCAACCCAACAGACAAATACACACATTCATGGCTTAACATTGTCTTGATCCAATGTCCATCCCTTACTTGCTGGCTTCGTACCGGGTACTGTATACCTTGGTGACTTGAAAGTGAATGATCGTTGATTGCAGGGTACATACCGTTAGCCATGTAGAAAAGACAAGGGTCTTCGAAATCCTGGTCTTAGACTCATAGAAATCGTGGAAGTTCATGAGCGGTTCCATGAGAAAAAAATATATGTTTTTAAAAAAGTTAAAAAAGAACACGCATATCCCTCCTGCAATCTGACATAGCTATGGAAGCCATGGCCCATTGAGTTCGAGGTTTTGCCTAAAACCGGTGCATTTTCCAGTTTGCTAAACAAATACCAGAGGGTATTCAACGATATTCCATTCGTATCCCAGTGATATTTCATGAAAATCTCCATCCATATATGCCATGTTCCATTTAAATCCCACATGAAATCCCACATGAAATCCCTGCAAATCCCCTTAAAACATTCATAAACATCTCCCGTGCTCACATTAAACATAGAAAATCAACCACATGAAACACAGGTCACATCTTCAACATTCATAAACATCATCATGACCCTCTGGTAAACTAACATAGCTTTGGAAAATGAACCATTTATAGGTGATTTACCAATCTAAATAGTGATTTTCCAGTTCGCTATGTTAGTTTACTGGAGGGTATCTACAGCTGTCTGTCTACCTACCTAAGCATCATTATATATACACCATTAAACACCATTAAACACTATATAAACACCATTAAAAATTATATCAACACCACTAAACACTATATAAACATCATTAAACACCATTAAACACCACTAACCACCATTAAACATCACCATCATCACCACGGGAAAATGGGTCATCTCCCACGAGGCGTCCCATGGAGGCGCTGCTGCGGCGCTTGGCGTATCCCCATGCCGTGGACGATCGCTCCGGCGCCGAGCTGCTGCGGGTGGTGTTCCGCAGCTGGCAGTCGGGCTGTTGGGTGAGGTGGGGGCCATGAAAGTTATGGAAAACCTACAAAAAACTATGGAAAATCACCAAAATCATCATTTTGAATGGGAAAACTCACTATAAATGGCCGGTAAACCTAGAAAAAACGATGGAAAGATCCACCACTTTGAATGGGAAAACTCACTAATTATAAATGGCCATGTTCAATAGCTATGTTAGTCATTACCAGAGGGTATGGTGAAATAGAATAACTGGTTGGTGGTTTGGAACATACGTTATTTTTCATAATAGTTGGGATGATGATCCAATCTGACTTTCATATTTTCAGAGGGGTTGAAACCACCAACCAGATGACATAGATAGAAATAGACTCCTGGTAAACTAGCAGTTTGCTATTGAACAGCTGAATGTTGATATATGTTAATAGTTAATAGGTAAATCATCTATAAATGAGTTTTGTTTTATTGGCGATCTTAGTTTACTGGAGAGTAGCACGTCTTGGAAGATATAGATATAGGTATATATAGTCATATATATTATATTGTTGTTTGATGATCATGATTGGTGATTGTTATCAATCATACATGTTAGTACTTGTACGGGTATTAATGGAAAACCTGCCAGTACACTTGATGATTGATTGGGGATCTTGTGAATCATAGGTCAGGAAGTTGGTGTTAGAAGTTACACTATGCAAACCAAACATTTTCACTATGATACACTGATGCACGGTAAAGATCTTGGTGAATGGTTTCTATTTGTTTTTAGGGGTTGCGGGCTTTTACCCTTGAAGCAGCCAAGAGTTGAGTGTGATCAACAGTGTGTGTGCGTTGGAAAGTTTCCTTTCTGCCAGTTGAACCCCACATCAGAATCTTTGAAAACTTTAGATGCGGCTATATGGGTATGGATCAATACCTATTAATACCATTTTTAGGGGGATGAACATCCATTTACCAGCTATTTTGATGTTCACCAGGGGTGCAAGGTTTTGACACACTGCCATATCCCTACAGTTTTCCCAGTTGGATGCACATATCTGCCGTACCACAACTGCCGTACCATGGTTCAACAACTCCGAGCCCGAGGTGGTCCTTGATCCAAAGCTTCCTGGGCGCTCCACCGGAGTTTCAAGTGGCGACCTATGAAGTGGATCCGCCACTGGGTGTTACGCAAACGGAAAAGCTGGGGGTGTTCTCGGAGAAGCCCTTGGACAATGATTTTTCCATTGTCATATGGGCCATGTTTGACTACCAGAGGCACGCCAAACCTAAAGCACTTCAGGTTCTGCCGTTGGAAAATTGTGACAGAACTTTACCAAACTTGTCGTAAACAGATTAGTGAAAGTGTGGTTATATGATCAAAATGCTATGGGAAGATGGTGGGAATTGTAGGCTTTCGATCGCAAATACAATGGAAGTGGAACTGATGCTCTCGGAGAGCAGCTGCTGCACTTCAATGATAACTGACAGGCACTACAAATGGTTTGCCAGAAGGTTTTTGATGTGGTAAACCCAATGATAAACCATGCCATAAACCAAACATTTGGGCTCATTTTACATCAATCTCATCTGGGCGAGATCATGTGTTTTTCAATTTGGTTCAATGTGGTAAACCCAGTTATAACAAACCATCCCCAATATCACTATTTGGTTGGTGGTTTGGAACATTTTTTTATTTTTCCATATATTTTGAGAAGAATAATCCCAACTGACGAAGTCATATTTTTCAGATGGGTAGGGCTCAACCACCAAGCGGCTATATGAATAGGTTCGTTGTCGCCTCGCGGACCTGGCGGATCTCGGATCGAGGTTTACCTTCAACCACACAGTGAAGCTTTGGGACTCCCGCGAAATGTCCCTTGAGTACCGGGAAGATCCGGGAAGATCCGGGAAGATCCGGGAAGAGGGATCAGCAATGACTTGCAAGTGGGACCCTCCTTTACGAAATCGCGATTGGTTGGTAGACATAACTGCAATTTCATCATGGTTGATGATGCGTTTTTTGGGGTGATCAACTTATAGCTGGATGGCCCATGATGGCCCCACATCGTATGATTTCAGTAAACTTACCATCTGGTATAGATCATCATTTTCACATTGATAGCACCACTCTTAGTGGTTAAATCTCATGTGTTCACGTCATACCTTTGATGCTTCAGCTGCTTCCACCAAAGAAAACAAAGCGAGGTCATTTATAAATAGTTAATTTTGTTGGTTAAAAGAACATGAATTCATATGAATCCTATGAACTATAGTTGCCCTTTGGTTATTTAACATAGCCATGGAAAATCCACCCATTTTTCATAGGTAAACCATCTATCCCTATGGGCCATCTATACCATGGCGAACTGTTAAATAACCAGAGGGTAACATTTGCCTTTACTATGAATTTGACCAAATTCATCAAATTCATCAAATTGCTGCAGGGATATCAATGATTCCCGGAGATTTGAGCCATGATTCGCTGCAGATGCTCCACACATCCCCAAACGATTACCCAGATGCTCCATGGTGCTGGAATATTTACCTACATTTTCCCAAAAAATGGCCCAACAATGACCCACATGTAGGGAAATATTCCAGCACCATGGGGCATCAGGGTTATATTTTATGATATTTGCTGGAGTTGACTCCCTCAGCCAGAGTGATGTAGGAAGAGGACGTTTCAGCTCGCTGAAACGTCCGACCCGTGCTGAATCTTTTTGATGGCTAAGTGTGGGGTCATGCAGAATGACTCACTAACATTCACTAACTACAGTGGTCAAAAATGGTCAACATATTGATGTAACAGACAAATGGTGTAAGAATAGTGGAATGATTTAAGTGAGCAATCCTTTCACAAAAGTTAACTAACTGATACCAGCCTAGAAACAGTGTTTTAGTGTTGGACCTACTCATTTTGGGTATCCATTTGCCCGTGCTTTTCCACTTTCCCGGCATTGTATGAACTTTTTCCCTGCTGAAAAAAGGACATCGAACTATCGAACCCAAACACTTTGGTAGATAATTTGTTTGTCAGTTGGGAAAAGGTAGTTGTTATTCAGATTCCAGAAGGGGCATATCTATCCCGTAATTCTTCGATTTGTTTCGCATATATCCATCCGGATTTGTTGTTTCCATTTGATTGTAACCCGCCATACATGGGGAACCTGTCGGAAATCATGTCTGATATCTATGGTCCCCTTGTACAAGGGAATCCACTGTACTGTAAATTCTCCCAATTCTTTGTGGAATCCCTATGCATCCCTACGCTTCATACTTAAATGTCCAGCTATTTTTTGTTATTTTTGTGTTTCACAAAACAAAGATCACTTGTGGGTTAGTTGACTAGATCCACCATAAGTTGGAAATATATATATATATATGTATGTATATATATATATATTGGGAAGTTGGGAATATGTCTAATTCGTTGGGAGGAGCACTCTTTCGCCAAAAAACGCGCCTCAGGAATTCCAAGATCCTGGCGGGTCACAGTGACACCGTGCTGACCGTGGCCATGAAGGGTAACATCGTGGCTTGACCGACTTTAACAGCCGACCTCAGGAAGAAGTGATGGCTAGGGCCCATGGCTACATCATGGGGCTCCAGGTTCATCATCCATAGAACATGTTCATTATGGAATTTGTGTTTTCTTATTATGATTATGTATTATGTATTATTCTTTTATTGGTGATATGACTTAGTTTCAAAATATACCATTAACTATAAGTTTGTTTATAAACCCCATGAATACTATAGTATATCCACCAGAAACAACGGTGAAATTGGATTTCTGTTCACCAACTTAGCTATTTGCAGATCATTTTCCTTTGGAAACGCTGGTGTCTCCCCATCGAACTGTTAGTTTACCCTAGGGGAATGGCTCCAAAAAATACCACGATGTGGAGCATTTATGCCCCTCGGGTAGTTGGGAAAAATCACCCCCCATGAATCCTACAGCTATATTTCGGCTATCTATATATATATATATATAGAGTACTATGAGTATCAAAAATCATCATAAATCATGATGAAATTGGATAACCCCCGTGAATATAGTTATAGGTACCTACAAACCCAATCATGAAATTGGAGCTTTGTGTTCACCAACCAAATCATCACCAATTTTCATGGATTGTCCATGGAGTATCCCAAAGAATCTCCCATGTTCAGTCATTTTCCCAGATTTTCCATGGATTCTCCCAGAGATTCCTGGAGATTTCCCCCCGACATCCCGACGTTTCCGAAGGTGGTCACGGGATCCTATGACTGCACCGCCAGAGCCTGGGACGCCTCCAGAGGCGTTTTACTGAAGACCATCCTCAATGACTGTTCTGTCACGGCGGTAGGCGCGGCATGGCGCGGCATGTTCTGTCAGTTCGTTCGTTCTTTGCCTTGTTTTTGACCAAAAAAAGATGGGCACAGAGAAATCAATAGAAACCATAGACCTGTAAGACCTGTAAGATGGGATGCATGTGATTCAATGCGATGTCTGGGAGAAGTCTCTGCTGAGCTGATGATAGAAGGGTTTCTCAGGTGTGATGCCTTGCTTGGAGGCCAAATGGCCTAGCAGAAGTTGAACAAAAAGACTGTCCATTTCAGAGAACCCTAAGCTGGATACGCACTCTGATTGGTGAACATCTCATTTTTGATGGTCCTCCCATGGTTTCAGAAAGAATATGTCCATGTTCTTTTCTCATTGTTTACTACAAATCAGGGACACTAGAACCAACACAATCTCTATTACATTCTATTATATTCCATTAAATATAATATATATATATTAATACATATATATACACATTCTATGATAATTATTATATACATGAAAACTATATGGTTTCATGAACCAATATCAACCATATGTATTGAACAAACCCGTTATGATCGCCATGTTAGTTGGTGAACCCAGGCGTTGAGCATTCCACAGTCATCATCGGTGGCGTCAACGGTGTGGCGGCCCTCGGCAAGCTGACGGGTGACGTGGCGATATGACCCAGCCCGCATATGTAGGTATCAACGGCATATGCCTGTATAAATGTATATTATATATATACATGTGTGTGCATGTTTGAATTACATTAATAATATGAAAGTTTAGATAATATATGCTCCCCCCCAAACAATCTACCTAAAGCATTTGCGTGACCATATGTTTTTTGCCTATACACTTGTATATGAGCATGCTACCTGAGCTAGTCTGAGGTGACCAGCCAGTGCTCGATTTCAGTACCACGCAGCTCGGTAACAGATCAGTGGGGCGGAAGAGTAAACACCCCCCGACAACCATGCTTTAGTATAGCAGGGGACTTGTCACATGTTTCAATGGGACCCAGCTATATGGTTTTGCACATCAGGGGATGGGATCAGTATATACTGACAAGAAACAGAATCATAATGATCATACTCCAATCATAATGATGGTAGTGAACGTTGTAATACTAATGATGATGATCATCACCACCATCACCATCATGCACCCCAGCAGTAGCTCCCATAGAACATCCCATTGAAATAGTGATACATCACTGAAATCAAAAGATGATAGGTGATACATCATATTTTTTTTGTGATAGTGTCACCCTCTAGTAAACTAAGACAACTATGGAAAATCACAATGTTTAAAGGGAAAATCCATTATAAATTGTCATTTTCAATAGCTTTTTGTATGTTTTACAGAGGGTACATCACTGTTCTATCTTTATGGAGGTGACTTTTTTTTATCAAAATATGGTAGGTGCTGACCCCCGACCAGACGAGGTCCTACTCTTCAGACTGCGCATCTTGATGGCAGGGACCTTGTGACCTTTGATGTGTCAAAATATGTAATGATTTGAGCATCTATAGAATCTATTTATCTATTTATTTATCTATCTATCCATCTATCTATCTGTCTGTCTATCTATCGATCGATCTATCTATTTATCTATCTATCCATCTATCTGTCTATCTATCTATCTATTTGTTTGTATGTTTGTTTGTCTGCCTGTGTAGATAGCTATATGTATACTGTATATATATATATATATATTTACACATGCTAATCCGTTTTCTATTGTATGATCTTCAAGTGAAAATAGGTATGGTATATTATTAAATGCTATACCGACTTCAAAACCGAAGCCTTTCTAGGGGGCTGAAGCATCGCTTTTTTATTGCCAGTTCAACGGGTTACTTGGAGCGTGTCAACTGTCAGCAGGCAGTGGTGATGCCAAAATGACTAGATCCTGATACTTGTAAATCGAGTTGCAGTGTGGTGGTTTCAAGAATGTTGGTTTTCAAACAAAAAAAACAGAATTGCCCATGACTCCTGTTGGAAAACCAATGTTTCTAGGTCTGTCCTCCGGGGTCACAGTGCTGTCATCGATGTGGTGTAGTTTTCGATGTTCGTAGTATATACATTAATTTGCACACACGCGCACACGCATATATATATAAATATATATATATGGAATGTATTATATAGTGTTGATCGTTGCTAATACATGTAGAAAATGACAGCAAGGGCCACTGTAAGCACAAGTTGCTGCACAGGCGCAAAAGAAATAATGCATTTACCATTAGAATCCTGTAGGTCAACCCAAACAATGCATCTACCATTAGGTAATTAAATGACCTTGACATTGATTGGGCTGCTCTATTCTTTTTAGACATTGATCTATTTAATGGTAATGATATTGAACAAATATCTAATTTTAATGACATTGATCTATTCTTTTCGGTTAGTAGAAAATATACGTGAATCTTCTATGCATGGGACCTAGCCAGGTTGACTTTTGACAACTTTACCATCTGCAAAGCGCTACATTCTCCAGTGGATAAGGTCTGAGTGGTTAGGTCATGTTCAATCATGTTCAATCATGATATGTATGTTGGTAAATGTTGGTAACAACCTGAATGCGCCCCCCTAGTTGCAAGTTGGTTTATAAGCCCATCTAAGTGTGATAATATCCTCCATAGGTCCATCCGTTTCCCCAATAGCCCAACTTAGCTAGATATGTGTTGATCATTACCCACTGCATCCCATCTTATGTTTTTTTTAGGTGGTCATCAGCCATGAATCACGGCAGCTGAGGTGCATTTGCTCGGCCACACTTCAGGGATCTCCTGCGTACTGATCCATGGCGCCGTTGCGGTGACAGGAGCCGCGTTACGGGAAGTCCGTTGCGGTGATTTTTGCTGAGATCCAGCTGGTGATTTTCATAGAAAAAATCCCCAAGTTATGGTTGGTTGATTTCACGGAAAATCCCATCTATAAATGCATGATTTAGGGGTAACCCCATTTAAGGAAACCACCATATTGTTTATGGCATACATACTCACAATATATTATATATGTAAATCATTATGAGGAACATCCGAAAACAAAATGGATGATTGAGGGGTACCCCCATTTCAGGAAACCTCTAGATGGCTTTGAAAACCTAGTTTTTGGAATGTTCTGGATGCGTGTTCAGTTCCATAGATTTTATATGATTTTATGAAACTTGGTATTCCCCTAGCGATGCCCTCCAAGTGATAGTTGTAAATGCATGTTTAAGGGCAAGATTTTTCAATTCTTTAGTGAACGGAAGCAGATGCCTGAAATGAACAGACTTGATGAAATGAAATGCCCCGTCATAGGTTAACAGATATGTTATTTTCTATACATATAAAGTATAACTGTATACAGTTGTATATGTTGGTATTAACCATGCCCCAATATATACAGTCAGCGCGGTGCCGGATTCCTCTTGTTCTACTTACTGTCACCAAGCAGTTGATGGCCCGTCAATGGCCATTGAAAAGGTACCAATCCAGTGAAGGTACCATCACAAAGCCATAGAACATATAGAAATGGCCCCCCCTTACAATAGACATTATATATATATTTATATGTTATATATATATATATTGTGTATATATATATATTTGTTGTATATATATATATATAACATATATACATATATAAATATGTTATATATATGTTATGTATAAATATTTTAAATATACATATATATATGATATATATATATGTATGTTATCTATATAGGTTTTATATATATATATGTAAATATATATATACATATGTTATATATATATTTACATCTTATATATATATATGCCATATATAGATATGTATGTATATATATATATTATACATACATGGTGGTAGTTGCCTCCAAAAAATCGCTGCCTGAAATGGCCACTGATCAAGCCACTACTGCCACCATCCGTAGGATCTCGAGACCGGAGCCGTCGGATTTGGCACACGACTGGTGGCGTGAAACGAGTGCTGCTGCATCCACGTGTCTTGGGCTTCTCCCTTTCCGCCCCCTTTTAGTGGTCCCCCAAAACATGATGTTTGGTGGTTATAAAATGTTATAAACCCCATGGATATTATACACACCAACTTAGCGTTTCGGGGGGCCCACGGTGTAAGATTATTCAATACCTCCGGATGGTGATGCAGAGAGACTCAGACAGACTGGGAGATATTCCACCAGTGGGACAACATGTTTTTCCCCAGTTGTTCAAGTGCAACATGTCCCCAGTTGTTTGGGTTTCACGTTGAACTTGGGATTTTTCAAGGCCTCGCTTACTAAGGCTCAAGCTATTGCCAAATATTGCCACTGAAATAGGGTGAAAAAAGGCATCCCCAGTTGGCTAATGACCAGTTCTGGCAAGCAAACCATCTTTCTGTTGGTGATTTGTTTGCTGACTTCATGATACTTTACAATTTCCCGTTGAAATCAAGTTTTGGGATTTTGTGGCTGGTAAAAGATTGTATTTTCCATAAACCTTCAGTTTTTGTCGTTGGATCATGATGGATGCGGCCGGGCCGTCTTTCCCTCGGCCAGCACGTGCGTAGAAAGGTCGTGTGACGGCCCTCTCGATGCATCGAAATCTGCAAATCTTAGTGACTGGATCTGCTGATAGTATGACGCGGCTATGGAATGCAGAGCGCCTGGGATGGTGAAGTTGGTGAACATACTTTATCCATGTTTTAGCCACATATATAAGCAAATGATGTTTTAATCCATGTTTAAGCCACATATACCCAGATGCTCCATGGTGCTGGAATATTTACCAACATTTACCCGAACGAAATAACCCAAATGTCAGTAAATATACCATACATGGAGCATATGGGTATGGTTGCGAAATCCTGCGCCAGTTGATAATTAAGTGGTTCATCCGTTTATCCCATTACATATTAGGGTTGAAAAAACCATCCAAGGTGGTGGTTTCTTCCATCCACAGTAACTTCAATGACTAGGGTTTATGGAGGTTAGATCTATAGTTAATCTGGATTATTTAAACCAAGTTATAACTGGGGCGGTACCACCCATAGGGGAACTCTTTGAGGTGGATTCGAGGAAGCCAGAAAATGGAACAGGCTGAAAATGAACCGGTTTGCTATGAAACTATATATATTCAACTGGCACAGATGTTGTAATTTGTGGTTGGCATTGGTGAACAAAAAACAATCCCATCTGGTTTTACAATTGGATTGCAAGGGACAAACAGGCAAAGTCGGGTGATGATCCTATAGATGCAATAGGCGGATTCATTTCGGATCCTAACGCTCGGTTGTTGAGGATTTGTCATCCATGTGTTATCATAGGCTAGCGATGCTAGGAGATGCCTTTGTTTCTTTAGCTGCTTCTTCTTTCTGTGTACAGTGTACTCTGTTTAATATATATATATATATATATTATATACATACACATGTTTAATGTGTGTAATTACATTATTTCTTGGATGCTTGCAACACGCTTGAAAGTTCACCCCTTGGTGACCCAGACTGCCCAGACTAGTGCTAGTTGTAGTACTAGCAGTTACTATCACCAGTACTCCTGACAAGGAGTATAGTATTTTTTTGATCCCATCAGACGATGTTTCTCGGTTCATCCTGATTTTGGGATATGTTTGGTGGTTTTATGTTGTTTTGATTTGTTTTGTGGTTAAATTCTTACTGTATATCATGTGTCTAAATCATTCATCCATTGTCTTTAGATGGTAAATGGGTTCTATGTTGGCGATTGTTGGCGATTGTTGGCGCACCGCTCAAATTCATGAGTGAGATATGTGAAGTTTTGAGCGGCTGAGCGTATGTGTTTTTGAAGGGAATGAAGGATCTAACGCCCGACCCTTTTTTTTGTATGTTTTTTTTTCACTGCGTCGTCCGAAAGACCAACAAATTCCATTTCCAGGAGCAATGCCTTAAAAACCATTTGGGTTCCAGTTAGCCTTCAACCCAGCCTTAAAGGTTGCAGATAGATTTGCAATGACTTTTTCGAATTCCATATTAGCTGTTTCAGGGTGCAGTATGGGTTCAGTTCGGGCCTGCATTGGGTTCCATGTCAGTTTTGGAGTGATTGTATTAAGAAAAGTTAGTTGCATGATTTCCTGGGGAACACGATCCACTCCACACCGTACCATGGTGATAGCATGAATCTCCGCGATAGAATTCAGGAGTGTAGTATTAGCAAGATTTGCAATTCATGGCCGTGAATTCGCACTGTTTTTGCCGTGAATTCACCATTGTTCGCTGTTTGAATCAATGAACTCCCAATGCTTCATAAATTATAAACATGCTTATCGTTACGTTGAAGTCAATGAAGTCCCAATGTTGGTTTTCATGATGTGGGTTAATAGGATGGTATAACCAACAACAATAGATGAATAATAATTAATAGGATGTTCCATGACATCAACAATGAAATAATGTCAGCTCCGGATTAATAAACCCCAAACGGCAGTTTAGTTGGTGGGGTACCTAACTTCAGTAGCCATTAATTACTGGGGGAATCGGAAGCACCACAATTAATCAACCAGGGTTTAGTGATCCGGGGTTGACATTAGATGATTAGTATTTTTTCATGATATGGCTATAGCATGGTATAACCAACAACAATAGATGAATAATGATTAATAAATGTTAATAGGATGTTCCATGACATAAACCATATTAACATATTAACCACTATTCCTCCTATTAACATTGTTCAACCATAGCTGGATGGTTTTCATATTAACCATGATTCATCTATTGATGATATTTTCCCCAATAGATGAATATTATGAATATTGGTTATATACGCTCTGGTAATTTTCAATAGCTATGTTAAATACCGGAGGGTGATATCATTAGATGACAATAACCATAAACAGTATCAGCCAAATATTGTAATCTAATAACAATGTCATCATGTCATCCAATATTGTTGTTTCATATTGATGTTTAATAACAATATTGCAATCCAATTGTTTATTGTCATTAATATATTGTTAATAAACCATGACTATAAACCATGATTACAGTAAGCATAAATATTGATGTTTATATATTAACCTATGATTTCCCTATTAGATGACAATACTTGTCATTAACATATTGTTAATAAACCATGATTATAAACCATGATTAACCATAAATATTGATGTTTGTTAACCTATGATTTCCCTATTAGATGACAATAAACCATGAATTTTAACCCATCCAGCGATCGGGGATCGCTTCGCGGGATCGCCGAGATCCGGAGAGCTGATGCATGTGCTGCACCTGCCGCGGGAAGGCGGGTTAGTGTCCGCCGTTGCCCCAAAAAATGGGGTGTCGCTAAGTTGGTGAAGATAACTCTTGAACCATGGTAAATTGTCAGTTTATGATACTTATAACATCTTATAACACCACAAAAAAAAAGCACTAAGATGTGACAACTAGAATTAGTTTTTTTTGAAGCAAGTTTTAACTTCGGGGCCCCACATTGTATGGATTGCTTGGCTATAGATGGAGGACAAGGATCTCTTTTTGTGTTTCTCTCTTGACCATTGGATAACATTGAGATAATCGTTTAAAAAACATGCTCTTGGTTAGCACATGGATCTGGGATGATTGGTGATGTGCTGGATCATGAGACGCCGTGGTTGGATAGCCATTGAACCACACCATTGTGGGGGTAAGGTGCAGAACAACCCAAATTGAAAGAAACATAATTTGAAAACTTAATGACTTGGTAGGAGTTGAGTTGTTTCAATGATTCCCCATGATTTTCTCCAAAAAATTCTTAGGATGATGATGGCCTCCAATACCACACATTTGTTCATTATTTGTTTTATGCGATTGGGTGTTTCAGCCGCAGTTGGATGAGGCATCCGATTTCCGGGGTTACTAGACACACGGTCATGTGCAAGGTGCTCAGATGGACGTCCAAAAAAACATAGTTGCCACTGAACCCGGCCCATCTCTCATTATTCAAATGTAGGGACCCAATTCTGTTTTTATGTTTAGTCAAACATTGGAGGAAAAACATGTCTATGAATTGGAACCTGAGATTTTGTTGTCCCACTGCCGCACTCCCCACGTATAAATCTTTGCAGGGGACTGTTGGCCCTTGGCTGACCAAGCACCTTGCCTGAATGTATTCGACCGGGGGCATGGGCGACACAGGGTGGATATAGTTTTGCATGAACCAGAAAAATGTCAACTAGCTGCTCGTGATGTTACCTATCATGGTTGCTGCTTTGTGCACTCACGCAAACGCACCGAATGCACTCAACTTACTAGCCGGTCGACGGTGAAATATGTTCCAGGTTTTGTTTTTTTGCCCTATGCCATCCTGTTTTCGTCTTTCCGGTATCGGGAGTCGTCTATGTTAAATTATTGTTTATGACCCACTTTGATAAAAATTGGGCAATCAGTTGCGGCATTTGAAAGAACATCTACATTCACATTTGAAAGCGCACTTGCGCGCAAATTAATATCTTGAATCTACTCACTGCAGTGATATATCTAGAGGATCCTAGAGGTATACTTGAACTGTGCAATGAAGCATGCAGGTGTTGCTTCAACGAGATACATTTGTGAACCGACCCCATCCTCCCATATCAAATTCCCAACATGAGCTCTCCAAAATCATTTTTTAGATCCAATACAAAAGCGTGGTTTCTTAGGAGGGGTCTTCAATAGTAGGTTGTAGGATAAAGGTATTGGAGGATTAAAACCAACGTACCAACTGGCCAACATATAATCTTACAAGATTATACTCCCACACACACTGTATATTTATATATGTATTTTAATATACATAAATTCACATACAGTGTAGACAATGAATTGTAACACATGCGCACATTCTTTGCACTGAATCTGTCTATTTGTACATCTGCGGGCCTATCTGTTGCACGTATATTATATATATATATATACAATACAGCATATAAAAATGCATGCATGCACCTGGCTGCTTCGAGACACCTCCAGGTGGTGTCGGTAGCTGTGTGCGGGGAGCATGTGGCTTACTCCTCTTCCTCGGGCATCGTGCAGGTGTCATGCTCAGCCGGGGCAATGGCGCTTAAACAATGGAAGGGGCTACTGAGCTATTGGAACTTTATAAGTTGTTTGAAGGGTTATTTCAAGTAAATTGATAGAGTGCAATCAGTGAATTTTGGATATTTTGCGTGGAACATGTCCAGAAAGAACCTACCGATTGGCGAAGCGAAGTTTTTTGACATCACCATCGGTACCAAAACTCTGGTGCTCAGGGATGGTGGGAATCCAAGCAGGTGACTCCTGGGAGGAGACGAAGCATACGTAATATGTACGTACAAGATACTTACACAGATACTTTCCAAAAAAACATGTATACAATATGCATTTATTATTCGCACGTACGGATGCGCACACACACACTGATATTTACATATGTACATGGATGTGTATTTATGACATACACGTATATGTTTATTATGATTTGAACGTGACCAGAGGGAGCTTGGATGAGCCGCACCCATTCTTTCACAACAATGTTCCGTAATTATATGTCCCCAAAAATACGCATGAACAAGAGCCAAAAAATACCCAAAAATATGCGTGTCCCAAATTTAGATCATTTTGCGAATCAGAAACCTTTGGAGTTCCATATCTATATATCTAGTTACCAGAGGCTGCCCAGAGTGCGCATTTTCCAACCGCATGGAGATGATCTGCTCTCTTTTTGCCCAATAACTCTTGGTAATTATGTTGTAATCTTTTCTGGTTGGTGGTTTGGAACCTTTTTTTTTTAATTTTTCCATATATTGGGAATGTCATCATCCCAACTGACTATTAAGCAGTTTATATAAGTACAGTATTCATGGCTTTATACACCGACGAGCATCACGGGCCCGGGGGCCCCACATTGCATCAACTTGTCGATCCAACTGCCAGGTGTGGAATCGCAGAACCCATAGGAGCTGCACCTTGACCAAGGGTTGCTGGGCAGCAGCTCCCGAAATCCCTGTCATAAATGGAGGTTTATAACTGGGAAAATCAATTCAATGGCGGATTTTCAAGCTAGCCACGTTTGATCACCGGAAGGTAATAGGTTCTGGTTGAATTACCGCGACCTCACAACACGGTAAAGTAGTGGGAATCATTTTTTTCAATGGGTAAACAGTTCAGTAAACACTGATTTTGAAAATGGTGAACATTTGCCCAGTATGAAACACCGGTGGTTTAGTATTGGTTTTATTCATTGGGTCATCAACCCGGAAGTCCCAAAGTCTGGTGAGTCATACATTTTAATGGCGATTGAAGCCATCCCTAGATGGTAGGTTTATGGCGGCCAGGGTTTCCCGCAGTACTTATTCCAGTTGTGTAATTCTTGTATTTGTTGTGTTGTGTATGTGTTTTCCCTTTTCATTTAGATAAATATAGTATATGTATACACTCTATATATATATATATATACATACATATATATATATATGTGGTTAGGGATGGGGTCTTTGTACTGGGCCAGCTACTGTATTGCTTCGCTTATGCCGCAGAAGCGTCGGTTACTTTCGTTTCTTTTGTGGATCTAGATGCCATAACTTCATGACTGAACCAGATTCCCAACGTTCCGCGGCCATTTGTGGGACGTTGGAGGCGAGTATGGCCCTTTGGGTTCTCATCTCGGCCTGGCAATGCGTGAGAATCTTCTCGTTGCGGGCTTTAAGGTGGGCGATGGCCGGTTGAACATGGGGTGTCGATGGGTATATGGCCAGCCAAAATCGATATCGGGCCCCAAGTGGATCCAGTTGTCTGGCAATTCTTTGTTTCGAAGCAACGGCAATTTTTTGTGGGTCATCTATGGGCCAACAGGGCAACTTTAATGGGTGCTATCACAGGATGATCCTTATCGGGTCTACCCATGATGTGTGTAGCCTATTTTCTGAGAAACCCAAGAAGTGAAGAATAGTGATATACATGAAGAATACCAATATTTAATACTTATAATGTATATGAATATATATATATATATACATACACAGTGTACATATATATATATATATAATGATATGTCCTCAATCACAGCTTTTCTCACTACAGTGGGTCGAATTTCATCTAGCATTGGCTATTGGGGTGATTGGATGTATTGGGGACGTGGCTTGGGTAGAAAGGACGTTGTTACATGTTACATGCAGTGGCTGCGCGGGGGTCTTTGTAGTTCCTTTAAAAACACCTCATTTTGAAGGACATGCAATTAAAATACCTACTGTTCATTTTATTTACACTGGAAAGGAATTCGATCACAAAGGCTATGTTTCTCTCAGAATGTGGCCAAATTGGTATTCTAGTGTATTCTATACCCCCCCTATATGGCCATATTGAAAGATGTTGAAAGGCAGGCATAAGTTGTGATGTGGCCTATTTAAATATGTTTCAAGTATGGAGTTTAGGACGTGGCCTATCTAAGTATTTTTAAATTGTGGAGTTTAGTTATTTAAGTATTAAACGCCCATGGCTCATGATACTGTGGGAAAAAGCTTGCACGAGTTTGTAGGTGGGCCAAATCCCATTCCAGTCCCATGAAATTTAATGTGGTTAAAACAATGCCATAAACCACCCATTTGGGAATTGTTTATACCACCTTTAAAAATGGTGATGACTGGGGGATGTTTTATGGCATTGGTTTACCTACAATATAGATATCTAATAACTATAAAACCATGATGATTATAGTTGTATTTATAGCCTATATACTTCCATGATTATTTATGGAAATTGGTTTATTCTTGTTTTACCCACAGTAACCATTATTTATCAACCATCATTTACCATCATTAACCATCTCCACTGCTGCGGGATAAACCGCGTTCGCCATGGCCAGGCTGGTTTCGCAAAGGCCTGGGACGTGAAACAGGCGGTGTTTTCGCCGCCCCGAGGCGATAAAACATGGGAGTTGAATGGTGGGATTTGATGGTCACGTGGGATTGATTGGTGATTTCATGGGATTATTTTTTTGGGATTTTATGGATTTTGCTGGTGGTTTGATGGGTTTTAATGGGTTTTGGTTTTTTTTGGTGATGATTTTCCACGGGGGTTCCATTGTGGATTTTATTGGATTTAATGGTGATACCGTGCCATTCATAATATACATTTTTTGTGTTCCGGCAACCGGCACCCGGCACCGACAAAAAAAGTATATACTCAATACCATTTAGATCTTTTTAGCGGGATTTGTGGAATTTAAATGAATTTTATGGGGTTTAGTGGTATGTTTGGGGATCTCGTTGGATTTGATGAGATTTGCAGTGTGCGCACTGGAGGAAAAGGAGTTGTCTCGGTAAATCATCGAACTAATCGGTCATGTTCCATAGCTATATGTTTTGTATATTACTAGAGGGTAAGTGCATGGAAATTATGTAGGCTAAGAAAAAAATGGAAATCAATGATTGCTTCCCGTTCAGAAATGACCTACTAATGGTGAACCCCTGCTGATTGGTCGGATGCATTGAATTTCTATAGTCACCAAATAATTCAAATATAGGTCTCACCCATCAAGCACGGGAGTTGGTTGGTCATGAGAGTGGGTTATTGTTGAATTATTGCCCATACTAGGGATACCTAGGAACTAGCCAATACATAGTGCTCAGAGGATTTCAGAGACACGCTTTTCAAACTCAACAAAGACATCAAATTGACAGGGTTCTACACTGAGAATTGTCCTGATTTAGATAAAGAAGGAATAGATACATATCAAAGATAATAACAAATCAGAATTCAACAAATAAAACCATATAAATTATTATAAAGTCATCAAACAGCAAATATTGGTAGTCGGACCACATCAATTCATGTTTCCATTTTTGTGGGGATTGCTATAACATATGTACTTAAGTTTCTTTTCCCTCCCCCTCCCTCTCTCTCTCTCTCTGTAGATATAGATGTAAATAGAGTGTAAAGAGCCCTGGAACTTCAGAGCCCTGCAGATTTCCGAGCAGCTCAGGTTTTTGTTGACCACGGGATTTTACCCACACGTGGCCAATCCTTCCTACGCCCTGATGCTATGAGCGCCGCGGCAGCTTCAACTCGAATCTATATTAGGATTTTGTTCCCTTCAAGATGTTAGAAATCAATGATATCAAAAGATCACTGGAACATTTTTCAAGATCTTTCAAGTCCACTCTACCTCCTTGACATTGGCATTTGGTAAAGCATCAGGGCTGAAGATCGCCATGCTGTGGCTGTTGCTGACAGCTGCCCAGCTGGGCGAAGGTTATCCACCTGGTGCCCCATTTCGGTCTGCTCGATGTATCACCATTATCACCATGGGCTATTGTAGATAACATTATGGAAATATGTTTAAATAGGTTGTGCAAACAAATTCAAGAGACTGCTGGGCAGCAAGTTGTAGGAAGCACAGCTGTTTGCCATTTGGTGATGTAATTTGTTCAACTGCATGAATTTCAAGCTGCAAGTTCTACACATAGCTCGAAAATTTGATTCTCACGCAAAATAATGCCAAAAACCGTGTGGTCCCCCTCTCATGAATGTCGATTGTAGCATTGGTTTGCACTTCTCAAGCAGAACATCAATCAATGTTGACCATAGTGGTAACCTAATTGCGCCTGAATGCCATGAATTCAAGGAATTCGGAAGTTGTAAGCACGAGAGCCTGCATCTCTTGATTTTTTGGCATGTCTTGATGGGCACAACTTACATCAACTTAGCACCCGTGACATCACGACAATTCTTGATGACGAAACCTCAGGTAGTGCAGGCTCGTCATCTTCCTCGGTGTCAGGGTGGGTCCAAACATGCTGCGATCAAAACGCAGCAGTCAAATTACTCGGTCGTTCATCTGCTCAATGCGTTCAACCAGTTGAACTCGCCCGGCACAAAATTGGGCAAATTGTTGGGTTGGCTTCAAGCCACCAATCAGTGCTTTTCATACAGTTTTGGAGTGTTTTGCATTTGTGACTTGAAAGAACGGCTCATGATGCTCTATTGAGATGGTCATCTTGTTTTTGTTCACACCCTGAACATCGACTTGGATTGCAGCCGTTGCCCGGTATGTTGCCCAAAGCGGCGGTAAGCAAAGACACGGGGTGCTGTTTGGCTGCTTACTAGAGGAATACCTTCTCCCTAATGTTTACTTGGTAGAGAGTTTTTTTCAATTTACACGTATTTGGATGCATTTGGGACCGCAAAGGAAATGTTTATTTTAGGCGGATTTTTTTGACAATGTTTGATGATTTCAGTGTGAAATGTGACGATGTTGATGATTCCAATGATGCTGTATCATGTATGCCAAAATACGTCATGTATGAAATATTTAGCAACTTTGCCTTAAACATACCCCAACTGTATGTAAATACGTTTGTCAAAAGATTAATATAGACGGCTATTGGGCGATGGTAATCTCCTCTCTATTTCACCAAACGTAATGTGCTACCTTGGTTCCCTGGGTCCTCTATAAGGTAGGTTTGGGTTATTGAAGACAGAAATAAAACAAAAATAGAGTTGATACTGCAACGCTGTTGCCTTTTGTTTTCCTGGGTTTTCCATGTGTTTCCTTTTTTTTCCTAATTTTTCTTAAAGATTGCACGCCAAGTATCACGGTGGTATCACGGTGGAACACAATGGAGTACCACAAACTTTGTCAGAAAAAAAAAATGTTTTTTTCTCTCTTCACGTTTTGCATATCGCAAAGGACAACGCATTCCAAACGATGGTTTACGTAAAACAAAACTCCAGAAATTATAGTTAATTCAATAATACATGATATATTTTTCTTTTAATGTTTATATGTTTATATAATTTTATTATATTTTATTGATATGCTTTCCTCCTGGCAAGAGCAAAAGAGAGGACATATGTCAAAGTTTTGTGTCAATTGTCACAAGTAAGCACAAGTGAACATGTGTCTGTATACCCTGGCCTCGAAACATTTCCATCCAACCTCAGGTGAAGCAAGTGGAGTTGGAATTATGTTATCTAAGATTTTGCATATTCTCGTAGCATTTACAAACACAAGTATCAAACAAATTCCTGAGTTTCGCCTGCAAGGACAACTGTTTTTACCCAAGAACCCTATGATGAGATCAAACACATGATGCTTGACATGTGTTGAAAATCTAATTTGCAGTGGTTGCCAAAGATTGGGGAGACAGAAGTTCTCCATGTAGTGCAACACACTGCATGCAGGCAGCTGGCACAAGTGTGAGACAAAAGTCACTCACACATGACGCAGCCGCAGAAACTCCGATGCAAAAGTCTGGGCAACACTTGACCCAAATTGTGGAGTGTAGCTACCTGACTCCTCTAGCAGGTCCTTCCTCCCGGTGAAACTTCGGCCATCTTCACTTCGAGTCACCAGTTGCTCACCTGACAATTGTTCCCTGGCTGGACAATCTCTGGACAGTTGATTGAAGCACACTCTGTTTGTCCATATCTGCAGCGGCTTCTGAGTGGGGCCAGCAAATGCTCCAAGATAAGTCTTCACACGATGAGCCTTCACAAATGACAACACTGACCTCATAGGAAGACACTTGTGCAAACACGAGTTGTCCGGCTGCTCCAAGCAGACCATGATGCCAATGACACACGACACAAGGAACATCATGGCTGCTACCTGCATGTGGCTATTGCCAGTCCTGACAAATGTCCTTGTGGTGTCTCCCCACCACTGGTTCCAGCCATACCTTTGGCTTTGCGCCAGACATAATATGACAAATGAAGAACAAGGTGGTCCAAGCCAACAAAGACCATGTTCACATATGCTCATGAGCATATCCATCCAGAGACGAAGGCCACATGTGTCGAGACAACTGTGCATATGTGAATGGATGATGTCGAACCCAGCTCCTTCAAAGCCTGCTTTGATCATCTCCTTGGTCAAGTTGGCTGCGCCACACCAGTACTCAACAAAGTGGTGGAGATGATGTGAACACTGGAGCCTGTTGGCAAAAGCACGCTGGCACAGGAGTGACAGCTTCATCGCAAGGTCTGTAACTGGTCGCAGACATGGGTACAGTGAGTCCAGGAGAGGTGGCCACATCTTGATCGCATTCCCACCAGACACATGAAGATCATGTGCCAAGAACCGAGAAAAGGTCTCCATCAGGAACGACGACATTTGTGCACACCTGCAGCAGTCAGGGTGGGCAGCCAGGATAGTTTTGAAGACACTACTAAGTACTACTAAGAAACTAAGACACTACTAAGTTTCTTTGTTACGTTTGTTATTATTCAACAACATGATTATCAACCCTGGCCTGTTGAAGGAAGAGTAGGGCCAGGCATCCTCATAGCCAAATGCAAGAGCTTTAGCACATTTGTCCACAAATGGGTCAATTGGCAAATCAGTGGCAGCTGCAGCTGCTGCATTGACACTTGTTGCCTCATGCATTTCAGTGACACCTGATGCCTCAGTGCCAGTGCCAGAAGAGCCAGCATCATCATGGACATATTTCTTGGTAGCAGCTTCGTCCACCTCTTTGTTTTGCTGACACTTGTTCTTCTTCTGACACTTGTTCTTCTTCGGAGGTGCAAAGCAGAGAAATGGAAGAAAGGGCCACATCATAGTCCGCTGCTGCTGCTGGCGCCTTTCTGCAACTGCAATTGATTTCCCCATGGCCACTTCAGAGGAGGAGTGAAATTTATACTCAAGATAATAGTCAGTGATCAGTGACCAGTATCCAGTGGAATTTCGAAAATTATGCCATGATTTGATATAACATGGTTTTTTCAACATGAATACAACTACATAGTTGTTTGAAACAGTTTGACATATTCACATAAAAAGCTGCGGGCATGAAACTCAATCTTAAAACAAGTCCAAGACAAGACAAATTCACTCAAAGTCTTGTGCATTCATTCATTCAAACTTGAGGCATTTTTTTAAGCGCAGCAGCATACATGTGCAAGCCATTGCAACACACTTGTTCAAGGACGCTTAGGATACTTAGTAGGAGGAGGCATCTGTGCAATGACCTCTCTTATCACAGCAAGCATGCTGTCTGAGACATGTCCAGGCTGCTGCGCTTGATTCGGATCATCGAGTTCAAAGCCAGGCAAATGTTTTGCCAAATCCCAGCGCTCCCAAGCTTCCTGATGCAACTGCTTCAGTGCCTCTTCCCAGGACATATGTTGAAACGCCTTGGAGCGAGATCCACCTGGTCCATAAGCAGCCCACACTTGTCCCTCTCGAGGCTTGATCTTAAACTTTATGGTGAAGCGGTGGGCCTTTTGGTCCAAGCCAAATGACATTCCTGGAGGTGCCAATCTCTGAAGGATTGCAGGTGTGAAGTGCTCTCTTGGCGACACAAGTACCACATGACGCCTCCTCCCTGCTTCAGCTGCAGCAGCTTCAGCTGCAGCAGGTTCTGCTGCAGGCTCTGCTACAGCCTCTGCTACAGCCTCTGCTAACGGAGCAGGACCTGCAGCAGGCCCAGCTGCAGCATCAGACACTTCTTCCTCATCCAGCTCCATGTGCAGCGGCTGATTTTCCTCATGTTCCTCCATGTGCGGCGACTGATGTTCTTCATGTTCCTCCATGTGCGGCGACTGATGTTCCTCATGTTGCTCCATGTGCGGCGACTCATGTTCCTCATGTTCCTCCATGTCCGGGGACTGATGTTCCTCATGTTGCTCCATGTGCGGCGAATGTTCCTCATGTTCCTCAGCGACTTCGGGAAGCAGTGCTAAGGGCACAGGCTCAGAAACAGATGGTGCTGGAGGTGGCGCTGGTGCTGACACCTGTTCTGGACGATCGCTGGATTGAGGCTGAACTCCACGGCCTCTGCCTTTGCCTCTGGCTCTGCCTCGTCCTCGTCCCCGACCTCCTCGGCCTCGACCAAATGCTTTGCGAGAGGCAATCTTCTTCTTCTTTTCCTCCTTCTCCTTAGACGAGAATGTTTGAAATTAGTTATTTCTAAAGCTTTCTATTTCACTTCATTTTGACTAATTAATTTGAGAAATCTAGTCAGCAACCAAGATTCATTTTTTTCTCCTCCTTAATATCTGCCCACTTCCTCTTCATAGCAGTTCGAGGATTGACAAATGTCTTGATGTCGCTAAACTCTTGTGCTTCATCCTTATCCAGC